CCTTCTGTCCGTCTGTAAATATATGTTGAGAACTCAATGATGAATTAATGCTTGAGACTATTGTGCATTTAACTCTTTATTTAGTATTTTTTATATTGTTTCACGTTAATTGTTGAATATATTTTTTATTTTAATCTCCTCTCAAATGAAAATCTGGTGCTCCCGATATCATCCGCATATAGAGGAAAAATTATTGTATATGGCGTTGCAAACGGTCGTCATATTAAAATCACCTTATCACATTGGGCCTAATTTTAAAAATTTAAGAATTTTTAAATTGATGTTAATTATGTGGCGCAAAATAATTGGAGGCCGTACTCCGTATGTAATAAACGCTCCATTTAGAGGAAAAAATATTAGGTCGGGAGTTCTAATGCATTAGGACTCCAATTGTCGGGCGTCACGTGTCAAATGACCCTAACGTAACATAATTTTTTTGTGGGTCACTGGACACGTGACATCTCACAATGGAGTTCTAATGTGTTAGGACTCCTGCCCTAATATTACTTTTTATATAGAGCGCTATCTAGAGTGCTAGAGGTGCACACCCATGTATAAGGTGCAGATGAGTAGAATTTTACAACACTAAGATCATAAGCCTTCTAACCCACACATCTAAAAGGCTCACATGGGTCTTCAATAGGGTAGCTAGAACGACAATAATTTTCTCCAGCCACCACCAGAGTTAAGGTGGCTGCTCGAACCCATGAGTTAAGATTTTGCAGCCATCAAAGAAAATTGCATACTGAAAGCACAAAGAACAAACCCTCTGATCCAGAGACTACAAACCACCACGTACAAAGGCATCAAATAAAATCAGAGACCCTAAACCACACAGAGTGAGCCAATCTAACAAAGTGTGAGGATAGAAGGCACGACAGGCGAGGGAATGCAACAGAGTAAAAGACAGCAATCGAGCTCTCGACAAAAACCAAAAAGAGCAAGACCTAGATAGCATATGGAGGACTCGATTTTGATCGCATCAAATACTCTCCTCAGAGACAAATACGTCATGTTAGGAAAATGAAACTACCGAGCGCGGCAGAGCGAGTGTGGAATGTAGGGCTTTAAACCACTTGACTAGTGTTCGGCTCGTGCGAAATAACTCGTATTTGAAATCGGCTCGTGTTCGAAATTGGCTCATGAATAGTGTGTTCGTGTTCAGCTCGTGTTCGGAATGAAATTGGCTCGTTAAACTTAAATTGAGAAAAATAGATTTAAAGTGTGATATTCGAACCTGGATCAAATATATATAAAAGAATGCACTAACCACATTGTCACATGAGGTCTTATGATTTAAACTTAGACATAAATATATAATATATTATGATATAAATAATATATGTAACATATTGTTATATAAATAGTTATATATATATATATTTTTTTTATTTCGAGCTAAAATGAGCCGAACACGAGCGAACAAGGAGCTTTTCGTGTTCGACTCTTTAATAATTCGAGCTTTAAAATTTTATTTGTGTTCGGCTCGTTTACTTAACGAATGAGCCGAACACGAGCTACTTAACGAGCCGAACACGAGCTATTCGCGAATAACGAGCTTTTCATGAGTTGTTCGCGAACAACGAGCTTTTTTGACAGCCCTGAAGAAATACATTTAACTTTTTAGAAGTTAAAGTGAAGATATTTTTATGTGATATAAAAATTTTGGGTATTATAAATGAGAAATTAAAGTTTAGGGGTTAGATATGTAAATTCGTAGGAATTGGGTGGCATGTATGTAAATGCCCCTATATTAATTTACTACAAAAACAAAATTGTTGCTTATATTATTTTTTTTTGGTAAATGTCTATTCATTTTTTATATAAAAATTTATAACAAATTTTGAGTAGTCTATCGAGTTATTCTTGATTATCCTTATTTTAGGCAAAGTAAAGGAGCGTGTTGAGTAGATTTTAGATCACAATTATGACTCTGATTTTATAAATGATGCATGTTAGAAAATTCGGTAACATAACAAATTATCTTCTTGACGTAGCAAGAGAGTCCAACACATACTTGAATGAAAGTAGATAACCAATAACGACAACAAAATTTTTTTACGTGAAAAATCTGAGAAGGAAAAAAACCACAGGGTCTTGTCGAGTTCAAGTATTCCACTATAAATTGATGATTATATGTGCAGCCCCTTATCCCACAAGCTGAAAATGATTACACAGTTTTTTGAGTTACAATGTTCATGCGTGAAAAAAGTCTCTGCCCCGTGGTTGGGAGTGATCGCAGGGGGAAGCGACTATTGGAGCTTCAGTAGCACAATGTTCAAGATGATGTGTCTCTTTATAGGTTGCTACGTGATTCTGCAGTTTTGTTGGTTGCTTTACACTGTATTTCATCGTAAGGAGTGAGCGGCATGCGATGGTGGTTGAAGATAGTTGTTGGGCGGCTTTCGGAGTTGGTCGAAAGTGGTTGTAGGAGCTGGCCAGATGTAGAGCTATTAACAATCTGATTTCTAGCCGAGCTAGGGTTAGTTTGCAATCAGTTTGAATAGATTAATAGCAGCTCGAAATTTGACTCATGGCTTGTAATATTTGACTTTGAGTTGAGCCGGCTCAAAATTAAATCGAACGCAAATCAGCATAAAACTGATTCAAGTTAGCTCAAATGGAGTTATTGAGATTTGTTTCAATTTGGAATAGACTCGATCCAGCACAAAATTGAAACTAACTAGCTCAAATTGAGTTATTTAGATCCATTCTAGCTCGATATAGATTCAAAATTGGCTCGTAGCTTGTTATATTCAATTTTATTTACATATAAACATAATTTATTATTTACATATAAACATAATTTTTATAAATAAAAAAATAAGACGAACCAATCCATGTATGGCTTGAAATCGGCTTGAAAAAAAATCGATCCAAAGTATCAACTCATAGATCGGCTCATTTATTTAGATCCAATCTCGATTTGAGCTAAAATCGAATAAATTTTTGAGTTTTTAACAATCTACGAGCTAAATTCAAAGTCCTAATCAGAGGTGGTGGTGGCATTGTTTGGAGTTGGCCGAAGGAGGAGACGACCAAAGTTGAATTGTCGAGGATGTTGAAGGCAGCGGCGGGTGGGAATAGTTGACGGTGACAGCTGCTAGAGCGTTGGTCGATGGTGGTTGGCAACTGCAGAAATAGGAGGTGTTCACTGGATCGTCAATGCAGGATCCTAGGCTTCAACTCCCACTTTTGCAGGCTCTGGTCTTCTTTTCGCCCAAGGTCTCGTCCCTTTCTTAAGTGGGTGGTAGGACTCAATTTTTAGAGCACAAACCCATGCTACAAATAAGAAAAGAATCAAAACCACTATGATCGGATGACCTGGAGGATTTCCTTAATCAAACAACATTCGATGGACATTCAAATGTCTTAATGGTGTCGGAATTCTGCAAACTTAAGCTCGTTGGATTTGTCTTGTCAAGACGCTCGATTTAACTATAAACATGTTAATTTATAATTCATTTGACATTCCAATTATGAGCTCGCTGGATTTGTCTTATCAAGACGCTCGATTTAACTATAAACATGTTATATTTTTAATTCGTTTGACATTCCAATTATTTATTGAAAGCTTTTAAAAGTGATTTAATAACTTGACCTAAGCTTGATTTGACTTGAATTTCATCGATTTTTGTCTCGTTGGGTCAGTCTCGTCAAATCAGTTAGTTTGCCTTTGAGTTTATTGAAATCAGAATCCCAACGAACTTTTAATCAAATTGAATATTTTTTCTTCAAAAAATTATCTCGAGATTTATATCATGCCCATATATTTATGTCCAACGATGAAAATTTTTTTATAGGGTATCAACAAATGTTATTACTTTTTTTTGGATGTACTCTCTTAACACTCATGATATATATTATTTTTTATATATATAGTTTAGTGTTAAGAATAAAAATAAAATATTAATTATATTTATTTCTTATTCAATGATATTGAAAGTATTTCTTATTTTAATATGAAGTATAAAGAAAATTTTCTTTCAAATATATCATCAATAATCAATTAGTTTTCATGATCTTTACGCGATACAATAATTTAGGGTCTGTTTGGGACAGTTGTTGCTTATTGAATAATCTGCTGATAAGTTGATTAAAAATAATCTGTTGATAAACTAGGTGTGGTGACTATTACTATTACAAATTTTTATTACAAATTTTTATTTTTTTTGAAAAAGTCAGACTGCAGTCAACAAGCTGTCTCCGCACCTAGATAGGTGTGGTGTGAAAATGTAGTTTTCAGCGTTTTGAAAAATATAATTTACCCAAACATACAAGATGCGTTTTCAAAACGTCACCGCACCAAATAAGCTGTCCCAACAGGACCTTAGATTAGGCCAAGTTGTAACTAGGGCTGTCAAAAAAGCTCGTTGTTCGCGAACAGTTCGTGTTCGGTTCGTCAATGAGTTTGTGTTCGATTCGTTCGATAAGTAAACGAGACAAACAC